GCCCCCTCCGGGGCTCGCTCCCGCCGCGCGCCCGGCGGCCCGCGCCGCCGCTCCGGGGACTGCAGCCGGTTTGTTCCGCGCGGGGCCCGGGCGGGAAGGCGGGAGGAATGTTCCCGGTGTCCCAGAGCCGCGTCTCCTCCCGGGAGCTCAGGCCGCGGCAGCCCCCCGCCGTGTGGTCGGTCCCGGATTCGGGGACACCGCTCCTCCCGGACGGTGGCACCTGAGCTGCGTGCGTGGAGGAGGAGGGACCTCGAGAGGCCGTGAAGTTAGCCGTGGGGGGCGGCAGCTAGAGAACCGTCCTGCTCGGCGCGCTCGTGCGGTCGACACTAGACCATGGAGTGAGCTGGGACAGAATGACAGCACGAGTAACAGGAGGGGCCGTGAGGAGGCAAACCCAAGCCGAGAGTGACACCACAAGTTGACAAAGTGCCCTGATCCAAAGGCTAGAGACCACTAGAGGAGAATTCATCCTGTCCCTGCCTGTATGCTTTCCAGTAATAAAGCCCTGCTGGTTTTCAGCAATTCATGTAACAGATGCTGTTGAGCTTCAGCCCTTTTCTCCAGGAATTTATAGGGGTTGGGGGAATGGGACAGTAAAGCAGTGAAAAGACAGCACAGGCAAATTCTAGAAACTAAAAAGTTAAAAGGTGGTAGACATGAGGCCAGCCTGAGCTAAGGAGCTGGACTTGTGAAGAAGGCTGGAGTAGTGGAGAAGTCAGGTTTTAAATAATGGGGTGGCGTGTTTCCGTTTGTGTTTTTTTTTTTTTTTTTTTTTTATATAAAGATGACCGGTAAGGGGATCTCAACCCTTGGCTTGGTGTTGTCAGCACCACGCTCAGCCAGTGAGCAAACTGGCCATCCCTATATAGGATCCGAACCCATGGCCTTGGTGTTATCAGCACCGCACTCTACCGAGTGAGCCACAGGCCGGCCCCCGTTTGTGTTTTAGAACAAAGAAATGGATTGGAGGAAGACAACAGGAGAGCCTGGAAACGAGTCAGGAGGAAGCTTGTCGGGGCAGGCAACGGACAGGAGAGAGAAGCCTGCACTAGTGCATGCACAGGATGGGCTCTGGAGCCCCGAGGCCTGGATGGGATTCTGGCTGCTGGTTTTGTAATGTCAGACAAGTTTGTTTCTTAATTCTCTGTGCCTTGGTTTCTCATCTGTGAAATGCAGGTAATAACAGGGCTGTTTTGAGGATTCAGTGAGTTGATTGGTGTAAAGACATTATAATAGCTCCTAGCACACGGTAGTTAGCTCCTGCTCCTACTACCATCGCTGCGGCATAGGTAGTATCAGAGCGGACAGAGGAACAGGATGCATTCTAGTTCTCTAGAGGTGTGGAAAAAGAGAGGACTCGCTGGGACACTGGGTGTGAGGAAGAGGAGCGTGATTGGTGATGCTAACCTTGTGTCTGGGTAACTGGGTGCTGCCGTGCTGAGGTGGGAGGGAGAACAGGGGGGTGGTGAAAGTCCAAATTTACAAAACCACCCTTCCTCCAGAGCTAAGTTAACCCACCTTGTGCCTTTGAAACACACTCTGACCTGCCCTGTAAGATGAGAACACTCGGCCCCGTTGTCAGCACCTGGGGGGCTCCAGCAACTTGCGCTTCACCATCTATTTGGAGATGAGAGCAAGAAAAGGTCAGCCCCTTGAGGAACAGAAGAAAGAACAGAAATAAACACGAAGGAGTGGGAGAGGCAAACGTTTTGTGAAGGTCATGATGGTCAAGGTATCCTTAGACCAAGACAAACCAGGATTTATTCTGAAGCAGTTTTCACACAGAACAGCAGGGCTGCCGTTTACATCAATATTCTTAGGTCCTTTCCCTGATGATCTGTGTTTTATTTATTTATTTTTTTAAAAAAGATGACCGGTAAGGGGATCTCAACCCTTGGCTTGGTGTTGTCAGCATCACGCTCAGCCAGTGAGCAAACCGGCCATCCCTATATAGGATCCGAACCCGCGGCCTTGGTGTTATCAGCACCGCACTCTACCGAGTGAGCCACGGGCCGGCCCATGATCTGTGTTTTAAACAAAAGCCCTAAATCATTTTTCTCGTAGTCTGAAGCCTGCAGCTGTATCCCAACCCCAGATCTACCACGTATTAGCTGTGGGAAAACAGCCAAGGCACTTTATGATTTTCAGTGAGGTTTCTTTATTGGATGTTTATGAGATGTTTTATGTTCGTTGGCTTACTTGATTCGCCCAACAACCTGGAAATTTGTCCAAGGGCAACAGTTATCGGGTGGAAGAATCAGGAATCTGGCCCACTCTCATAGATTTAATTTCTCCCTCTGTGATGTAAGGGGAACATGTATGTCTTAGTCTGTTTGTGCTGCTATAACAAAACACCTGATACTAGGTACTTTATAAGCAATGGAAATTAATTTCTCATGGTTCTGGAGGCTGGGAAGTCCAAGATCAAGGTGCCAGCACTGATGTCGGGTGGGGGCTGCTCTCTGCTTCCAAGGTGGCACCTTGTTGCTGCATCCTCTGGAGGGGATTCATGCTGTGCCCTCACCTGGCAGTCAGAATGGAAGGACAGGAGAGCCCTCCCTTCAACCTTGAGCCCTTTATAAGACTGCTAATCCCATTCATGACTTAATCAGCTCCCAAAGGCCATACCTCTTAATACTGCTGCATTGGGGATTAAGTTTCAACTGAATTTTGGAGGGGACACCATCCAAACCATAGCAACACGTGTCACAGGGGTGTTAAATTTCCTACAAATATGTATTCTACTTAAAATGACATGATTGTGTACGTGTTGTTTGTTTAAAAAAAAAAAAAAACACTAAAATTTGGATACAGTCATTAAGTCATGAAAAATCTAGATAAAAATACACCATGAGAAAAATAAACATAGCCACATTTTAGGCATGTCCGGTTTGTTCATTTCCAGTCCTGTGGCCCATTTATCAATTATTTCTGTGTAAACAGTTGCAATGACTAAACATAAAATGTGTATGTGTCTGGTAGGACCCCATACTCAGCACTTCCTGTCCCAGCATCCCAATATGCCAGGACTAGTGATGGCCCCAGGATCTGGGTTCAAATTTCAGTTCCCCTACCTCCTTTATGTGTGGCCTTGGACAAATTACTTACTCTCAGTAGATTTTAGTTAGTTAGTTAGTTAGTTAGTTAGTTAGTTAGTTAGTTAGTTAGTTTGTTTGTTTTTAAAAGATGACCGGTAAGGGGATCTTAACCCTTGACTTGGTGTTGTTAGCACCATGCTCTCCCAAGTGAGCTAACCGGCCATCCCTATATAGGATCCAAACCTGTGGCCTTGAGGTTATCAGCACCACACTCTCCCAACCACGCTCTCCCAAGTGAGCTAACCGGCCATCCCTATATAGGATCCAAACCTGTGGCCTTGAGGTTATCAGCACCACACTCTCCCAAGTGAGCCACGGGCTGGCCCTAGTAGATTTTAGTTTCCTCCTAACTTCCTTGAAGGGTTATTATGAGGATTAAAAGCTTCAGTGTAAATTAAGTGCCTGTCAAGGTCTCCAGTGAGTGTTGGGTTCCTTCCTTTTTCCTAGAACCCTTTACAACATAAATTTTTTTTATATGTACCCAATAGCTATCCTGCTAATACTCTTCAGAATCCTCTCCCTGGACATGTTCTGAGCACTGGCAACAGGCACCAGGAATGAGAGCAGAAGATGTGGGTTCCAGACCTTGCTCCACCACTTATGAGTACCCGATCACGAGCCATGGAACCTCTCTGCCTCAGTTTTCTCATGTGGAGAGTGAACATAACTACACTGTCCTACCTACAAAGGGTCTTCAAAAAGTTCACAGAAAGAATCGCATTATCTTTTAACTCTATTTTTTCATGAATTTTTTGAAGTACCCTTGTAGGTCACAATGTGAGCATAGATGTGGATAAAGTTGAGATAATAAAAGGTGAAATTCTCTACATATGCTAGATACGATGGATAAAACATCCAAGTTTACTGGAGTTTAGTATGTTATACTACTCTGTAATAAAAACTGTAACACTTAAAGTTTTTATGAAAATCTTATTTTCACACACTATATACAAACATTAAACTAAAAATGTACCAAAGACCTAAATGTAAGAGTTAAATTATAAAATTCTTAGAAGAAAACATAGGTGTAAATCTTTGTGACCCTAGATTAGGCAACAATTTCTTAGATATGACACAAAAGCACACAGTCAACCAAAGGATATAAATTGAACATCACCAAAATTAAAAACTTGCGTGCTTTACTGGACACTATCAGGAAAGTGAAATGACAACCCTCAGATGGGAGAAAATATTTGTAAATCATATATCCAATAAGGCCCTTGTGTCCAAAATATGAGGGTAATTTAAAAA